TGGGCAAAAGTCACTTTCTTTCACCCGCCTGTGCTCACAGCAGAGCTCAGGCAGGCAAAAGTCACTCGCGGCAGAGCTCAGGCGGGCTGCCGCGAGTACAGGCGGGCGAAAGAAAGTGCTTTAGTCAGTGGGGTGTCGGGGGAGAGGACTGCCTCACCAGCCATAAACCTCACCGCACGTCACTGCATCATAGTGTAAGGTATCGAGTAGTAAATTAATAATATAGCATACTTATTATATGGAGAAAGAGTTTTGTTTAACATGCAGTAATTATTTTTTAAAATAGAACACAATAGATTATGAACACATGGTTATTCCTCACATAGTTATTCCAATAAGTAAACAAAAATCCTTAATAGTAATCATCTGATAAAACTCCCTGGAAACCATTGATGTCATTGGGACTATTGTAGCGTATGGGCTATTTTTTTTATATTCTTACACCAAGTTCTAGTATTTAACTATTTTAATTTAATAGAGATCACATATTACAAATTATTACCCTTATCAATTTTATATTTTTTAACTTAAGGATATTTTCAAGTTATAAGAGCTCCTCCAACAGGAAACGGGTTTAGTTTTGAATAACATTAGAATAATATACAAATCATCAGTCCTAACTTTTAAAAAATGAAATATATTGTATTTCTGGAGCTTTCAAGCATTCAATAGTTTTCCCTGTTAGATGTTTGAGAGAATTTTAAACCAACCAGGCAAACTTTTTTCAGGTCCATAATCATTTAGCCAAGAATAAAAGAAAAATGGGTAGAAGCAAATTTAAAGAAAATAAACTACATTAAATAAACTTTTGATCTTATATGATTATTCCCAATTTATTTACAATTTTTTCTCCTATCATAGTAAAAACACTAATTCAGTAATACCTTTGGAGAGTATGAACAATCAGAGTTTGTGCACCTTCTAATCTAAATGGACAATACTAAAATAACATGCAATGGTTCTAGTCACTTTTAAATGAAAAATGAAGTGTTCAAATCAGGGGTTATCAAAATCATTTTCCTACATTAATTACATTAAAGAGGGACAATAGCAATAAGTTATTTTGCTCCAGGGAGTAGAACCTTAATTATATTAAATTATGAAAAAACAGTTTCCAGTTGACAGTTGCAAAATGTTTCCCAATGACAACCCATTATTTCAGAGAATATGTACCAGTGGTGGGTTTCCAATTTTTTTACTACCAGTTTGCTTGTGCCTGCGTGCATGTGCAAAAGTGTCCGGGCAGGTGGGCGGAGCCTCACCCTCCCGGGCTGAACTGGGAGCAACCCACCTCTGATATGTACTTAAAGCAGTACAATATATCATCAGCCAACAGTAGAGGCAGTACAAATATCCTTTTTTTCTGCAAATGTGTTTCCTGTGATCTCAGTTCAAGATCTTCCATCTGGACAATCATGGTGCATTAAGGAGAATGCTAAGAGATGATATAGCATGAAGCAGAAATGTGCTCGGCTTCAGTTGGTCCAGCAGGTCTGCTGTGGAACTATCAAATTCTGTGTCATTGACTGGACTGGTTTGGTTGTGAGGGACATCAGAACTCCAACTTTCACTGTCACTCTATTTTCCCTGTTATAACTAGATTAATCAGGCAGACCTAGAAAATGGATAGCCCTAAAATTATTATCCCATCCTTGGCTAAATAAAGTTAATTGGAACTATAATTGAAAATATGTGTCTCTTGCACTTCTTTGGCCTGTGAAATGAGGCATTCCCTTTCCAGTGGCTCATGTTCCTAACAAAGCCCTGGTTGTTTATTTTATCTCTTCACATAATATTCTTGGAATAGTTTACAGTTCCTAAACTAATCCCCAGAGCAAAATCTTTGCTCAAACTACATTTTTCAGCACTTAGATGGCTGTCAACCCCCCCCCCCCCCCCACAAATCTGTTTGCTGCCCCCTAGTGGTTTATCCATCAACTCATATTAATAAGGAATAAATCATTCCATAAATGGAATTAAAAGGAAGTAGGAAAAAAATAGTAGTGTATGGAATAACCAGCTCATGTCAGTTGGAGGAGCTAATTTAGAGTATTTGTTTAAATAATTTATAAGAGTTTCTTATTTTCATCTAATTGTAAAATCATATAACATAGAGACATATCTGTCACACAAATAAAGAAATACACTAAGTATACTAATTTAAAATTAGTGTTTATAGCTATCAATAGTAAGATCAGAAAAAAACTGGATAAATCTTTTTTTCCAAGGTGACATAATTTTAATGATCATAACAGTTAGCCCTTGTCTTTCAGACTTTCATTTAATGACTTTCCAAAGTTTTGACAGCTCTGAAAAAAAGTGATTTATGATTGGTCCTTACAGTTACTACCAACAACAGTGTTTCTACAGTCATGTTTTCAAAATGTGGGTAATTTGGACACTTGGCAGCTGATATAAATTTATGACAATTGAGGCAGCTTAGGTCACATGATCACCATTTGTGGGCTTCCTATGAGACTTCCATCAAGCAAAATCAATGGGGAATCTGGATTTATTAACGACCATGTGATTTACTTAAAAACCACAGCAAAAAAGGTGGTAAAATTGGGCACTGCTTATTTAATGACTCCATTGCTTAGTGACAGAAATTCTAATCCAAATGATTGTAAATTAACTACATATAATCCATATTACAATTTTAACTCATAAATACTAAATGTTAACATCAGAAACCTTTATGGGAACTTTTTTATGTGCCGAAACATATGTATATCCATGTAGAATGCAGTTTTTTTTTGGACATAAAATAAATTAAACAGTAGGCTCTACATCAGGCAATATATTACTGCTAAAAAGAAAATTCTGTGTTAGATAACTATCAGATTCATCCATAGTGTACACTATTTTTATTTTCTTTTGATTGAACCATCTCATATGGTTATGTATCAGCTTTATTGATTTGAACTACACAATTATTTGAATTTGGATTCCGAGTAAATGAATTCTAAGCAAAAACACATCTAGTGCTATTTGGGTGCAGAAATTATTTTTGAATTGAACTCTACATTCAACCCTTAATCGAGCAATGAAATTGTTTGTTAATAAATATTTGAAATTTTAGAAAGATCCTAAAAGGAGAAAGTAAAGTTGCATTGCTGATCAATCCTGAAATCCCATATGGAATAGGAAATTGGATCCAGGGCATCCAATCAGAACATCCTGTTTAAGGACATAATACTGGCTATGAATATGTTGGAAGTATCAACACTATAATTATATTTATTTTAAATATAAGCTAAAAATTCTAGAATAGATATGCTTCCTGTGTTGCAGCAAAATACAAAGACCTTTTGTGCCTTTGTGCTTCGGTGCTGCAGTCTTTTGGGAAGACATCTGAAGAAATTAGAATTGACTTGTCAACAGATGTTGTCAACTTTTCTTGTTTCTTCTCATTTTAATTTAGACATAGCCGTAGAATTGCAAGCCACTTTTCTTTTCCAAGTAATTAGAGTTGATTGATTGATGGATTGATTATGTGTCATTAAGCCAGTGTCGATTCTTAGCAACTACAAAGATTTTCTCCATTATGATCTGTCCCCAATCCGGTATTTCAGGTATTCCACCAGTGTATCTTAAGTTAAATATCAGGATATGGATTGTACAAGTTATACAGCTATAGGTTAAGTGACAGGAAATGGAATCTTATATAACTTTGACCTGAATCTCAAAACTTAAATTCCATGTCCAAAAGCACTTAACAAAAAGTTGAAAGTCTTTACTGATTCCTTTCCTATCTATCTATCTTTTCTGTCAGTCTATTCCAGCTGAAAAAACACTCTTTGCTTTCAGTGAAGAGTAGGAGTGCCTCTGATTTAAAAAAAAAAAGGAATAACAATTCATAAATATATAAACGCATATATACATATCTATATACTGTATATACATAACAAACATGAGAAATACAATTTATACAAGAGTTAATATGGCTATCTTTTTAGGTTTCAAGGGAAGAATATTTTTAGAAGCACTATGATAGACTTAGGTCCTTAAATTTAGGTTTTCATATATAAGTTGCCACACTATTTCCTTTATTTATTTATTTTATTAGCAAGTAGTAATTACACTTGCAATATACATAGATTATGACACAAATAAGCACAGGTATCTCAAACATATGTATGTGGATATAAATTTATCTTACATAATAGCCAAGACTTAAAATCAAGCAAAATTTAAATAAATAAATAAAATTAAGTTGCCAACATTGCACAAAGTTTTAAAAAGAATCCATATCTATGGTAAATAAATTACATTCTTACAATGTTTTTGTTTTCTGTTGTTAGCCAGAGGATATTGGACAAGCACCAATAGTAAATGCCCCAGAAGGTGGGAAAGTAGATTTAGAAGCTTTCAGCCAGTTTACAAAAATTATCACACCAGCAATCACAAGAGTGGTGGATTTTGCCAAAAAGTTGCCTATGTTCTGTGAGGTATGAATTCCTTTTCTATTTAATTTGTTTTGGTTTCTGATAGTATTTTTATTGTTGATATTATTATTGTTCTTGTTGATAGATGTTTGCATTATCTTATAACAGTTCAGAACAAAAAGATAGAAGGATTATGATCCATGTTTTGCATAACAGGCCCCGAATACAAGTGGGCTAAAATAAAGCATCCTTTGACAGGACAAGCTAGACTTTTTCTTAAGAGTGATTTTTCAGGCAGTAATAGGAGTATTTTCCCTCTGGATATTTCCCTGTCATTATATGTAATTCAACTTTTCCCCTTTTGGAGGCAATTTGGATAGTTTAAAATATCCAATATTGAAGTACCTGTAAATGGACAAAACAAATTCCACCAACACTCTGAAAAATGTCATTTGTTCTTTTTGTTTTGTATCATCACAGCATTTCCAGATGGCTTTCTGTGGCCCTTCCAAAGGCAGACATCAATTTTGCAGGACTAAATCATGAAATATTGTCTATATCTGGTTTAAAGTAACAACATGAATTCATTCAAAAAGCTAAAAATTGCATTTATAATGTACGCTAGGATTTCAGAATCTTGACTTACTGTTTATCAAGATAGGATCCGAAATCCCTGTGCCACTATATCTCCTTAGAATTAAAAGGAAGTTATAAAAATACAAAAATGCATTTGCAACTCTTCCTTATCTAAGTGAATGATAATGATTCAAATCAAAATAGAATCTAATATGAAATAAACCATTTTTCAAATGTAAGTCCTATATAATTGAACAGCCTATTTTGTAACAAGCTATAGAGCATACGTAAGAAAGCATTTCTTTTTCAGCTTATTTTTTGTGTATATCAGAGCTGTTGCCCTAAAGAAGGATCATTTTAGGGATAAAAATAATGTATTTTTGTCATGCTTAACATTTTGTTGCTTCCAGTTTAATAGCTTAGTATGGCTACTTTTTTATTTTAGTAAAACTATGTAACTTTATTTCTGTTGCCTAAAAACAAGCGAAAGAACCATCATCACTGCAATCCAATTTCCCCCCTCATCTTGTTTTGCAAGCCCTTTGGAAAAGTAATTTTCTGGCTGTGGCTTCATATTAAGATCTCCTCCAACCCCCATTACATTTCAATGTAGAAAACTGCTTGGGGAACAATGGCAGCAGGCCATTATTCAGAATATTGTTGCTGCTATAAGAACCTGATCATATACTTCTTTGCACTACTTCCTTTCTTGACTATTCTTTTTGAACTTAGAGGTGCTGGAAAAGACTCCATTCAGACTGATGCTGTTTTCTCTGTAGAAGGCTAAAGGGATGAGGACAGACCCATAAATGAACAATATGAAATTCATTGAGCATAGAGTGTGTCTTTGGGCTTCTCTTTTCATATTATAATAAGCAAAGTGTGTTCAATACAAATTGAGGCTATTTGCCCATTCCCGTACACTTTTTGAATAGCTTTCATGGTACCTAAGATTAAATGCTTAAGTTTTACATTGTGTGGTAATGTCAGTTTGGATATGTCCACTTTGTTTGCTTATTTATTTAATTTACTTACAATACAATAGCAGAGTTGGAAGGGGCCTTGGAGGTCTTCTAGTCCAATCCCCTGCCTAGGCAGGAAACCCTATACCATTTCAGACAAATGGCTATCCCACATCTTCTTAAAGACTTACAGTGTTGGGGCATTCACAACTTCTGAAGGCAAGCTGTTCCACTGATTAATTTTTCTAACTGTCAGGAAATTTCTCCTCAGTTCTAAATTGCTTCTCTCATTGATTAGTTTCCACCCATTGCTTCTTGTTTTACACTCAGATGTCTTGGAGAATAGTTTGACTCCCTCTTCTTTGTGGCAACCCTTGAGATATTGGAACACTGCTATCATGCCTCCCCTAGTCCTTCTTTCTCTTAAACTAAACATACCCAGTTCCTGCAACCATTCTTCATATGTTTTAGTCTCCAGTCCCCTAATCATCTTTGTTGCTCTTCTTTGCACTCTTTCTAGAGTCTCCACATCTTTTCTACATCGTGGCGACCAAAACTGAATACAAGTGTGGCCTTACCAAGGCATTATAAAGGGGTATTAACACTTCACGTGATCTTGATTCTATCCCTACTTGTTGCCCATCTCACTAGCCAAACAATTATGGACAGCCTACATGCATTCTTCAACTTTTCAAAAAGGGAAACTTGATAGTACATACTTAGCATATCATATAATTTGCCTGTTAGTGGGATATGTGTGAAATAAAACAGCCTACTCAACCTGAACAGAAACATTTTCTGATATAATCCTAATTTAAGCATGTTAAAGTTTCATAGATTCCATGACTGATGATCTTCGCAATTGGGGTTGTATGAAACAAAACAAAAATGTTAATTTAAATGTCAGGAACCCTGACAATCTACTCTTCAGATTATATTGTTAAACAGGGTGTGGGGAGTAAAATTATGACCCTCCAGACCCTGAGCTGCCATTAGCATAGTCTGCAAGTTACCTGGATACTGAGAATCATAATTTAGCAATATGGAAGATATATATTCATTTATTTTACAACATCACTGCATTATTAGATCTATCCTTTAACAGATTTATTCCACATTGGGTGGCAATATTATTTGAGTGCGTTTCTGAAAAATGGAAACATGATCTAGAACATTTCAATAGGGAAATGTATAAAGCTCTGTGATTAAAGATAACTGGAAATATAGTGGTACAGATATATTTTTAAAAACACTCATTTGAATGCATAGCATCTAGTACTAGATTGCAAAGAAACAGCACAGATGCTATCTACTTTTGTTATGCTCCCCATTAGGAGCCCTATGTCACTGAACCCCACTGAAATTCAACTTTTAATCTCCAGGATGATCTCACTTAGGGAATTGCAGGAGTTTGCTGGATATAAGGTAGCCAATAAGAAATGTTCACTCCAATCAGCAAACAAGAGCAAGAGGAACATATAGCATTTGTATTGTTAGAGAGTAAAAATGACAGTTTTCAATATAATAGCTTTAGCTCTGGTTTCTTACACTAGATATACACATCTCAAGATGCTTCTGAACCTCACAGTTAGTCCTTTATTGCTTTCATTCATTCATTCATTCTTTCTTTCTTTCCTTCCTTCCTTCCTTCTTTGTTTGTTTCTCCCTTCTTTCCTCCTCCGTTCCTCCTTTCTTTCTTTCTTTCTTTCTTTCTTTCTTTCTTTCTTTCTTTCTTTCTTTCCCTCTTATTGCTTTAAAATGTTCTGCAATACTTGCATGGGAAAATGCATGATTCGTCTGTAAGTTTGCACTAAAAAGCACTGAAGTACATTTTTAAGTACATATAAAATACTGCCACAGAATACATAAGTTGGTGCCAAAAGCAGTGGGTATATCTCAAATAAATATAAAATACTGCCATTTCAGCTTTAAATAACAACGGTTTAAAAAATGTAACAATTGGTATCTTAACAAAATTAAGGATTGATTTTAGAATATTTTCCCTCAAACTGGCTCTTTTATATTTCAGGGCAGTATTCAATTATTTTATAGCCATTTTGCCTACTTTCTATTATACTTACTTTCTATTATACTAATGAAAGAGCTAGCAAGCTGAGATTGGCCACTGTCTGGTTATTTAACATTATTCATTTATTCTGTATTTTTCACCCATTTGTAAAATTCTACTCCTTTTTAGAAACATATGGCACAAGGCTGATAGTAATAGGTATTGAAGGAATTGTATTAATTTTAAAATGATCTCAAATTAAATATTGATAATTTATCTCTCTATTTTCCTATTTTATTCTTTATTTCTATTTTGCTTCTTCTATATTAAGAAACAACATTACTTTCTTTGAGAATGAATATGGTTGTAGTATCTTTCACTATGACTCCCTTTTCAGTATAGATTATTTTGCCTACTGTTCAGGAAAATCAGTGTATAGCTCAATTAGGCTATCAGTAAACCAATCACTGTATTTCTCAAGCTGACAAATGAAGAAAAGAAAAGGAGGAGGAGGAGGAAGAAGAAGAGGAGGAGAAGATGGGGAAAATATAATATTTGTTTTTCCATATGAAGTCTTGTTTAAAATTATTTTTTATTTTACTTATTTTGTCATTTTCTAAGCTCACCTACTTGCCAACAATTCTTCTGTCATTAAGGTATGGCTTTCAACTTATGAAGGCAAACTTTCGTTGATTCTCAGAATGGTTTTGGCAATGCTAAATGTAATCACTACATCTGTAAAATATATAATATTATA